AAGCGTGACCAAGGAAAAGAAGGAAGAGAGGGCCATGAGCACAGATCCTGAGGACAGGCCAGTGTGGCGGCCGCTCTAGGACATGCATAACAAACTGAAAGCAGTCGTGCTTATCAAGGGAACCATCGAGGCTGCCTGGGTTGAAGAGTCTAGTGGAGTCTGGCCAGAGAGTGATCCAGAATATTCCCACTTATTTTTTTTTAATCCTGAAAATACAAAAGTCAGTTCACATTTTACTTGGTTTTATTTGTGTTTTATTACAACCCTTGCTTTTTTATTCTCTGCCTGGCACTGTAACACCACAAAAGAATGTCTGTGAGTTTTGCTTTTAAATTCTTTTTAGCCATATGACATCAGGACTCAACAAAATACTAATTCATGTGCTGAAGTTTTTCATTCTGTGGGATGGAGGTGAGAATTCAATATGTGAACTGTCATCAAAAGTCACACAGTGAACACTGAGGGACTCAGGGCATCACCATCGATAGGGGAGCCTAAGGAAGCAGTTTTTCTCCTACCAACGAATCACACATAACTGAACACCACCCTTAATTCTCTTCTCAACTCACAATCCTAATGGGAAGTCACCATCATGAGTGTGTGAGGTGGTGCACAAGTGGAACGGTGAGCCTCTTTACTCAGAGAACTGGGCACCCCCACGCTCTCCACCCCTGCCCGCCTCCACCACAGCCGCCTACACCCTGCCCTGTCAGCTCTAGGCTACTGCCCGCCTGAGCCACAGCCTCCTACAGCTCTGGATTGTCATAACTCTTGTTTGGATGCAGAACAGCTTAGAAATCTGTTCTGTCCTGAGCCTTCACAACAGGGGACTCACCATCTTGTGAGAGTCAACATGGCTTATGGTTTTATTTATTTATTATGATCTTAAAATTAAAGTGACTTTCCCAAATGTCTGGGTTCACATGTCAGGTAGATGGGTTTGTGAGTTGACRGTTTCCTGGGGTCCCATCCCCTTCTCAGCACCACCTCTGTGGTCATCTTCAGAGCCTYGAACTCCTCCATTGCCTGTTCAGCCCAGTGTTGAACGTGAACAGCACCAAAACAGATGCTGGCTACCRTGTGTCCTAACTGCTGGGGAACGGAAGGGCAATTCTGTTTCCGACATTTCAGGATGATCAGTTTTAGGCCCTCTCGTGGACTGGGGACAACTGGATTTTCTTCTAAATTCATATGTGTCAAATACTATTTTCCTTCTCTCTCAATGCAAACAAATACTATCAGGAGTACAGAATGTCCATTTCAGCACAGGTGATACACAGTTTCCCAGACCAATGGCAGGTACTTACTACAGGCTGACCCCACAGGTCAGCCTTTAGTTTATTTATGATCTATTATGATCTTATGATTTTATTTTTGATTTATTATGATCTTAAATTTAAAGTGACTTTTCCAAATGTCTRGGTTCACATGTCATGCAGATGGGTTTGTGAGTTGACGGTTTCCTGTGGTCCCATCCCCTTCCCAGCACCACCTCTGTGGTCAGAACTGGTGGCTCGGGCTGGAAGTCCTCCACGGTGGTGGTGAAGGAGGCAGGGTGGGACCCATAGTCCATAGGTGGTGCAGGGCCCCCGCTCTGAGGGAAGAAGAGTAATTCAGGCTGACTTTCCAAGGCAGAGGCCAGCTGAGGATGCAGGACTGAGATCACCTCTCAAAGCTTCAGAGTCCTCCTCCCTTGGGACAGGGAGTTGCGGCTTTTTAAATGAGCACTGGGATAGGAACCTAGGAGAGTGCCATCCACTGGTGACACAAAAAGACACAAGGAAGCCTAGACATATCCAGCTCTCCCAGTACAGGGTAAAATGCCAGTCAGTSGATTCTGAAATGCGTCAACGGCTCTAGCTCAAAGCCTCTGGAAAGGTCAGGTCATTCTTCGCACACACATGGATTCACTGGTCCATCTGTCAAACTCATCTAACTCTATKCATGACAAAGTTGAGGACCTGTGCTCACGTCTGCTCGCTCCCTGAAGAAAGTAATTACATTTAACCAAAACAATTTATGATAGAAATGATTCCCTGGTCTCTGTCATTTATAGAAATAAGAAGAAAAATACACATGGTCTGGCATTGGAATGTACCTACTTTTTCAAAGAAGAAACAGATGTGGATCCAAATTAGGGTGTTTTACCTCCACTTACCAATGCCAGCTGCTCACTGGAAATAATAACAAGGTCTGAGAGTGACCAGGTCACACAAARCACCAAGAAGACATGGGGACAGGCACACAGTGCTGTTTCTAAAGAATCATTTGGATGGGGAAAAGGTAATCACCAAGTAGAGCAGTAGAGCTCAATCTTCACCGTAAGGGAATGGGGTGCTCACACCCTGGCAAGGTCAGCAAGGCTGTGCCCACAAAGCAAGCACATCCACCTTATGGAGGGAAGCCATGGGCAGAGCCTGGGAGCCCAGGTATRGCAAACTTGAACCCCAAAAAGAGAGGCCTGGGCCTTGCTGTCTCCAGGAGGATATGGATGGAATGGAAGGAGGCAGAGAGTCAGGCTTCCTCCTTCGCCTATGCAGTCCGGTCTYAGATAAGCTCACACATACCCCAAAGCCTCAGTGTCCACCCACTCTAACCACATGGCAACATGTGCATTGATGACAGTGTTTAGTACTCTCTGCCAGGGGCCAGAGGCATGGGTATAAAACAACATGGACTGGAGAAGAACACTCATAATACGTGTTCATCGCCCCACGTGTAATCTCCACAATGGGCTAAACAGACATAATTACCTCTCCCCTTTTCTCAGGTAAGAAACTAAAGGTTAGGGAAGTCAAGCAACTCACCTAGAGATACCCAGCAAGACACTGGGCTGTCACTTCCATGCACGTTTATGGACTGACACCACCTCCAAGGTTTGCTGAGGTAGGGTATGAATCTCCTGGAGAGGAGGACACTCTCTGAAGGCAGCCTCAGGACCCCAATGAATTTTCCAAAAACCAGAAGGTGATTTGAAAAGAGATCATCACCACAGAAAAATCCAGAACATCCAACATGTCCAGTGATCAGTTAATTTTCAATCTTGAGTACTCTGCAAAACCCAACTATTTCTTGATTTTCTTGATTAGGGGAGGGGGGTGAGAAGGAGATGCCAAGGATTTTATAGCTTTTAACTATTTTCCTGGATAAGAGAGGTGCACGGCATTTTACATGCAACTGTGATTTTAAGAAAGTGTTCTTGGGAAGTAAATGGGATACTTCCTGCATGTGCAAGYTCAGCGCCTGCACAAGGACCCCACATGTAGTTGGCACCACTGCAACCCAGGAAATCCTTGGAGCTACACAAGGAGGCAAAGGGCAAGAGGTTTAAAGCAAATAGTTTTGAGAGGGGGAGGGAGCAAGAAGACAAGAAAATCTACAGAGCCTGAAACTGTTCTAATTACTMACCAACAGGCCCCCACCACAGGGCAGCCAGGAGGAATGTCTAGGTTCTACACTTTGAGAAAATCCCTGGCAACTTCAGGTAGCGGCCGCTCCTGCTCCAGGAAGAACGCTATGATCTCATTTTGAGGATTGGCCTCGGTTTCCCTCCTGTCTTTAACCGGCTTTAAGATGTGTTTATACATACRAGTATGTCTGTGTAATTCCCACTGCACATGTGTGTATAGGAACATATCTACATGCTTGTACATACAGCAGCACTCCTTGAGGGTCCTTTGAGGTCTCAGAGGGCTACAGAGAAAGACTGTGTGAAATTCCCAGCTCCAGCTCTGGTTTCTAATCTACAAGTCATTTGTGAGACACAAGGCAGGGACCTAGGACGCCCCAGAAGAATTTTAGGTATGAACAATGAACTCACTAACTCCTTCCCCCTCACACTGCTGGGAGAGGGAAGGGGGGTGGAAAAAGAAAAGGAAAGCAAAAGCAAACACCGCAGGACTGCCCTTACTTTACTGAAGGGCAGAGGGACCGGCTCCTGCTAACCATAGTTATTTTCCATAAGATAAACACCCTCCRCATGGAGTTGTCCTGGCCACTTGGAAGCCCCTCTGCACACAGGCCTTCTCTCTACCTCCGTGTTTTCTCAAGCACTTGTTCAAAAACACATTTAAGTGGAATGTTTTCGTTTCTGCAGATTGCATTAATTATGGGTTCGCAAGCATGGCAGGCGCACGAGGTCTGCCCGAGCTGGGCGCTGCAGACAACCGGCCTTGGCGGAGCAGCCGGCCGCAGTTGGTTTGGCCGGCTGCGGACGCGCTCAGCCCCCATCACAGCTCGGCATTTGGCAMCCAGAGCCTCAGCCCCGCCAGGGCTGCAGCTAAGAGAGACAAACAGAGCGATCCTTCTCTGTGCCCCATGCGCTCAGGATCGCGCCTGCCCCGTGCGCAGCATCTTGCCACTGAGGAGAGGACCCGGCTGGAGCAGAGAGCGCCTCCTGGCCCGTTTCTACCCTGAGAAGAGAGGAGAGAGCTCATTGTCCCTCCTTTATTAGAACTTAGTGAAAATCTGTTTTTATTTCAATGTCATCTGCTTCTTCCTGCTTTCTTTAGAGGGTCTCTAAGAGGGACAGGCCCRGTAGTGGGGCCCTGGACGCGCCCCGTAGCCCAGCAAGTGGCCACAGGATCTGCAGGGCTCCCTCCCTAGCCAAAAAAACGACCGCCTAATGCAGTCAGGCCAGATCCCTGGGGGTGAGGTGGACAGAGTCCTCAATGGGTCGYCCTGGGGACAGCCAGCAGGGCGCCTGCATCCCATCCCTCCTTGTTCCCGCGCAAGTCCCTGCCCCCATGAGAGTGCATAAATGCAGGACACCCTAATTCTCACCCATCTGGAGCTGGTAGGACTGGGGGGGGGGGCCCGTCTTAGACGGTAGCCATCCGCCCGGACACGCACGCGGCGGGAAGGGTCTGGGTCCGGGTCCCACCTGCTGGAGTCACGCGGGCGGAGGCGCCAACACCCCGAAGGCCACCTGCTCCCCTTGTCTGGGTCAGGAGGGGAGCGTGGGGACCCGGCCGGGTGGCACTGCCAGGTCCCGGGCTTACCGTGAGTGCTGAGAACTTCTGCGCGGGCGCGGGCGGCAGCAGCCCCGCGAGCAGCGGCAGCCAGCAGAGTTGGGGCAGCAGCATGGTGACCCAGCGCGGGACCGCGCGGACGACCCACAGAGAGCGGCCGCGCCCTGAGTCCTGAGCCCTGGCACGGCGGCCGGGAGCCTGTGGGCTAGCGCGACCGACCCGGCGGGTGGAGGCGGTTCCTCCGCAGTCCTCGCTTCCAACCGCTCCGGGGCCCGGACTTGACCAGCTCAGCTGCAGGCACTGAGCAGTCCTCCAAGTACTTTGCGGCTTCCCTCGCTCCTGTCAAATACCCTCAGAACTTCCCGGATCCTCCCCCTCCCACCCCACCCCCGCCCTCTTCCTTCCCTCTCCCCTCTCCTCCCCCAGCCCCACCTCCTCGCACACGGGCCGCAGAGCTGGGCTAGGCTCAGAAGCGCGCTCCATGGAGGGTCTGCCCTGGGAGCAGTCTSCTAAAAGGAGAGGGAGAGGGGCCACTAGGGTGGGCTGGCGCCTCAGTGTATTTTCCTGCCTGCTTTCCTGAGCTCACACTAGTTGCACATGCACTCACATATATAAGCGTGCATTCACAACCACWTGTGCGCCCAGCCAAGGAGAGTTCCAGGGCACAACCAGGTAACCAATGTRCAGTCTTGCCCCAGTGCAGAGTCTGCCCACTCCAGACCAGCCGGTGTGCCCTGTTCATCCACTAGGGTGAGCCTGAAGCTTTGGCCAGTCCACCAAGCCCAGTGGCTCTCCTTGAATTCGGAACTCCAGGACACCTTCTGCAGACCAGAAATGGCCCTCAAATGTGCTGACTGATCAATTGACTCCCAGAGTAGGGAACTGAGAACAAATATCCCAACACCATGGGCAGCATCTTTACACTGGATCATCCACTGGAGGGGGTGGACACACAGATCTGGGAGGGTCTGACTTGGGCAGCAGCCTTAATCCTAGGCCAGTGTGATTGGACTGTCATTAGGCATACTGTATAGTCAGATGTGCTGCTTTTAGCAGCTCTGTTGCAGCATTTCAGGTGTTTGTGCAAGGAGCACAGGGTGGTGGAGGCTGTTAACCTGTCCCTGGAGACTTGATGGAAACCAAGAGAAGTCTGCACACCCAGATTCTGGAAGACATCCACTGCAGAAAACATTGCTGAAATAGTTTAAGCCTTGGCTTGTAACTTTACAGGAAAAGGCCCTAATTCCATCTCACACAGAAAGCCAATAAAGTGAAGACTTTCAAGAACAATGAATCAATTGACTTGTCAGGGGCTCTAGGGAAATGAACAGAATAGCAAATCCGCATCTGAGCTTTCATCTGCCGTCAGGTTCACCGCTAAGAACGAGAGGGCAGGGAGCTGGCTCAGAAAGTTCAAGACTGGCTGCTTGGAGGGGCTGCCCTTCTGCAGGCGTCTGCTTGGCCATCTGCAGTGATGCCGGGGACCAGGAAAGATGGCAGAGGAATGATCCTTCCCAGGAGGGCTCCTCTAAGAAGTCTCTTTCAAATTCCAAAGCCCAAAGAATCTATTAAACACTTAAACACATTCCTGCTGGTTTGAGGACACAGAAGGAAATTATAATAAAACTCCTCAGGGATTGCTCTTGGGCCCAGAGAAACAGGTGAGCATGCAGCTGTGAGCAATTAAGTAAATAAGGACCAATATGAGGCAATGTCAATAAAAGTTAGAGTAAAAATAAAACCAATCAATAAATGTTGCAYACCACTGATTCTAAAATAATCTGAAGAAGAAAATGTACACCCAGAGCTGACATACCTCCTTTAAACATCGTTTGCTATTGAAAATTTCTTTTCCTTTCTACTTTATTGAGAGTGCTGCAAGTCATGGGCTGCTATCTGATATGTTGCACTTTTCTGCAGAACTCAGAAGCCTGAGAGCACTACATTTATTATCTGCATCAGCTACAAAGTGGCAATCAAGAAGTAGACCTAACCATTCCCATTTTACAGATGAGGAACAAAAGCAAAAGAGACCAAATGCCTCAGCCAGATCTCCTAAGCCACGAGATCAGAACAGAATCCAGATGTCRCAATGTAGAATTTCAACCCATCCACTCACTTCCCCTGGAGATACAGATGGCAGAAGGAAGCTTCTTGGCTCTCCAGGCCTGGAGTCCAAGAATCCTGCATCCTTCATGTGTTGATTCCAGAATCCTCTGACAATTCCAGAAAGATCAATGAAATGTATTTGTCCAAGATGSTGATAGATGAGGCAGGATTGGAGCCTTCAAAGACCTTGTAAAATCTGGACAAACTAATGTGGATCGWAGGCCAAATTTCATTTTCTCAAAGACCATAGAAGTGTAATTCGGAGAGATAGTGTTTCCATTTTTGTGGAGAAAAATAATACACTCATTTAAAACCAGGAGATGGTTTTTTCTGCCTGTCATGCTCATGTCTCCCAGGAGGCCACTACTGGCCTGAGCAGCTGACACCACACACTGCTTCACCTCAAGATTTCTGAGGGTTCCCACAGGACAGAAAGAAGTCCTCTTTTCTTGGAAATAGCCTACATTTTAAATTAAGAGGTGACATAGGGCCCATCTTAAAGTGTGGCCTATGGATCCAGAATTTAAATTTCTTCCACCGATCAGTCACAATAAAGAGGAGCAAGAAAAATCTATGATCAAGAACTGGCTCTTCTCACAGGCCTCACCTCACTTCCCCTCTTCCGTCACTAGTACCGACTCACTTTCCTATTACATTTACTATGCAAAAACTGCAAAAGGCTTGTGTTCTTAACACAGACATGATATAATTTAATTATCATTCCTGGCTTATTTGTGTTTAGCCAGAGAGCTCATTGTCAGCCATTTTCCATATGCCCACAGTGTGCAAGGTACAGGCTTAATCGAATGTCCCTTTGTTGTTCGGCGACTTCCAAAAGCTTTCTTGGTCATAATTCTGAGTGACACTGAGACCCATTGGAGTGGGTGAGCCTCACCCCTGTGTGGAGCATACTGGCCGCCTGTCAGCTGCTCATCCAACCCACGCATGACCCAGGTTTTATTCACTCACAGGAAGAGGAGTCTTCCAAGTTCACTAGGGTTTTCTTAAGTAACTGCCGGAAATGCAGCGGACAGCAGTCTGCGAAGGACAGGCCTGTAGGATGGGGTTGGTGAAGTCTGTCCCCTCTACTCCACTTGACGGTTCTCATGGGCAGACCAGTGGTCCCACATCTATCCCAGRCTTGGGCTGTTCAACTCCAGAGACCTGGGTGCCCATGAGAGTGACCGACGCGGACACACTGTGAATTTCTAAGTCGGGGAGAACCTGCTGCCTGGGGAGGCAGAYGTCACGTGCCCTCACAGTGGAGCAGGGAAGGCCCCTGAGCCATCTCAGAGGTCCCTTCCCCACTGGGAATTATTTTAGAGACAGAGAATCGAGGTGGTCTTGTGCCCGTCCACCACATCATCACCTTCTTCAGATGCTGATGACAGGTTCTATGAGGGCCCTTTCCAGGCAAGTGGTCAGGAGCAGCTGGAATGTGCAGGTGTCTTGTGCTCAGCATCTGAGCCACTCCCACAGGGCGCTGAAAGGTAGCACTTCACAGATGGTGACAAAGCCCAGGAGGCCACGGGACCCCAGATCCTCATGAGGAGGCTGCAGCCACAGACTCTCCTGGATCCTCGTCTCAGAAGCCAGGGTCTTTCCCCTGTGACCACTACGATTTGAATATCATTGAAGAACTTGTTGGCTGCAGCAAGGAAAGGCCCAGGGTCCACAGTCTACAGATAATCAGTTCTCAGACATTTTGAGATCATAAACCCTGTGAGGACTGAGGAAAACTATGGGCTATTTTGTCCAGAAAAATGTGCAAGTGGTGGACAAACACACTCCCGCTTCACTGACTGGCTGCTTTGTACAAACATCCCCCTTGAGCATCCACACTGGGAACTGTCCCTCTGAAGTGATGCTTGGTGGCTGTCCCTCCTGAAAGGTGTGATTGTGGTGTGGGGGAGAAAGCCACTCTCAGGCTCAATCTCGTGGATTAGTCAAAACACGCAGCAATGGCCACAGTGCAGGACCAGGCTTGCTAGAAGTGGTCACCGTGATCCCAGGGCCAAGCGTGCCTTCCCGTCATAACAGCCTTTACTAGCATGTGAAGCCCACAGAACCCATCAGCCGCAGGGCTAGTGAAAGGCACTGCCACAATGACGAAGCGCCATACAAAGTGTGTTCCCGGAAGAGAAGAAGCAAACACACACGAACYGGGAGAACTCAGAGCACCCAGCTCTTCTCAATTCAGATGGTCTCAACTACTGTGAATTTCTCTCCTTGTTCACACATTTGAAGTCCTTCTTCCTTTCTTAACATGGCAAAAAACATTTTAAGATGGCAATGGAAATATAGCTTTCCAAGAACACTCTGGTGCAGGGTGAACCAGGCAGATGCAGTTTGTGGCCACAGAAAGAGGAGTAGGAAGATACCCCAGTAAAGAGAGCCTCAGCTCCTGCAGAAGCTCCCTCTACCCCACTGTGCTCAGGCAGGAGGGAGTGCCCAGCCTCCTGGCCCAGCCTCTGGGACTCTGAGCTGAGTCTTCCACTGTTTCAGACAAGCAGGAAAATCTTCAGTGACTTCAGACATAGTACCAGGCCCTGGCTACTGGGCCATGGGGACAGTGAAGTGACATTGCTTGCTGGTTGGCCTTCCACCCTGTTAGGCAGACCCCTCTGTGGGCTGTCCATCAATAGCTGCCTCTGCTCTCTCTGCATAAGCAGGAGCCCTTGCTGGTGTCGCCCAGGAAGTCAGGATCCTCCTGGTTTGGGCTGGTTCAGCCTCCATCCTGGGAATTTTCTTACTGCCTTTTGTCCCTAGAAAACAGTGTGCAAACTAGAGATGCAGCTCCATGGTTTTCAGACCCTTTTATTCCTAGGTCTACAAGCCATGAAAACCAGACTTCTTCTGACTCTTTTCTCCTGTGAGGTGATTGGCCACCAGAGCCCTGGGGCTGATGGTCTGCAGAGGTGCACACAGGGGTGCACTCTGTGGCTCTCAGACTTGCAAAAGGGATCTGGATGTGCAACAGATGGTGGAAAACTTGGCACGCAATGTGGATAAAAAGTGTGCCGCAGAGTGTAACTGGCAGGCCTGTGCCCCCGAGGCCCTGCAGACACAGGGCATGTTGGGCCTGGTACAGCTGCAGGCGCTGGCAGAGACACGAGTGAGAATTGCACAGCACCTGTCCAGTGCCTCTGGCTCAAGCCCCTGGGTGAGTCTGCTGTTTGTCCAGCACCTGGACCCTTCCTCTGGAGGCTAACTCTTCATC